CGGGCAGAGGTTCGAGTCGTAAGACGTGAGACCTCCAGTCATGGGCCTCCCGGGAAAGTGCCTCACGCGGCGTCCCGAAGAAGGCATGGCGCAGGAAGCTTGCACAAGCCAAGGAATCGAAGTCGCCTCGTGACACATTAACCGACGGGGTGCACAACAAGCAGTGGGTTTCAGTCTTTTATGCACATCCAGTTACCACATTTCAAGGGTCCTGATAGTGTCCTGATATCTGCAGCAAACCGCCTTGGCGGCCATCACAGCGAGCGAGTGCCAGAAATTGGCGGCGGTACTCCTCGTCTGCCGGCGTGTGCACTGGCGCGGGGCTCCCCCGCGCACGTCCTGATTCACCCCGCATGCATGCCGACATCACAGGAACGAGAAGGGGTCGGACCATGCAGGATTCCTGGATATCCTAGCCCTTCTCAGGGAGACAACCTCCAACAGCTGTCAGAATGTGACTGCAACATGCTGCAACCCTCGAGCCTTAAACACTTAAACACCAAAGCATATACTGGCATGCACCCTGCCGAAGACAGGAAAGCTCAATCTTCACGTGGCACGAGGAAACTTGGGACTCATGAACACGGTGTCCAAACCCTGTCAACAAAGGCTTCTGCCTCACAACTGACTAGGAAGAATCGAGGTGTCTCGTTTGCTTCTGGGTGCCGGGTCAACCAGCGTGGTCGGAAATAGTTTCGTAAAACAAGCCCGGAAGGGAAATCTACGCCGACACATCGTCCAGGCCGCTGCTTCGCCGACCGGAGCGTATCGGGTCGGGGCTAAGCCTAGCTACGAGCAGGGGATCCAAAATGACGTGCTTGAGACTCTGACTGCAGATTACTCGAGGAACCCCTTGCTAAGAGGGATCGCATGTCAGTTGCCTTTACGCAGTTCAAGGCCCAGGTTCGCTTCACGTACCAATGATGCACGAAGCCTGATGGGTGACACGGCTAGTTCAACCAACGCGGTTGCAAGGAACTTCAGAAGTGTGCACGAATGTTGAGAGAAGGCCACTCACAATACCATGACAATTCCTGCCTGTTCCTTCAGCGAAAGCATATGCTGCCAGAACCCGCCGTGGCAGCCGATGCATTACCCGAGTGGACTCTTACTCAAATGGGAAGAGGCATTTGGAGTTCGAGGTGGTGGGTCTCGAGCTATATATATATATATATATATTTATTTATGTATTTATTTGTTTATATTTATATTTGTATTTCTATTTCTATTTCTATTTATATTGTATTTATTTTTGTATTTGTATTTATATTTATATTTATACTTATATTTATACTTATATTTATACTTATATTTATTTTTATATTTATATTTATTTATATTTATATTTCTTTATTTATTTTGAGCTGAACTTTATATGTGTGTACATATATATATATATATATTGTGTTTTTTGGTTTATACTTCTTGCGAAAGAGCATTCATGCTGCAGCCCTCAGGCTTCATTTTCTTGAGCAGCAGAAAGAGCTGCACATGAGCAGCAACAGCCCCCCAAGCTGCTCATCTGAAGTCTTTGCCGCCTTGCCGATCAGCCAGTGGCAAGCTGCAAACGAACTCCGGTGCCTTGCAGAAAGCGTCCAGCAATGCAAGATCTCGCCCTGCAGCGGATTGGCAGGAAGCATGCTTCTGCTGCCCACAAAATGATGTTCGGGTTCCCTTGTACAGACATGGACGCTCGTGAAGCCTGCACATGTCCTGCGCATTGCATCTTTTCTAAGCCGAATAGCAGCACACGAAGAAACCGGGATCTTATCAGTCAGTCTGCCTTCTCTCGAAGATAACGAAGAGCTGAATCTCTGAACGTTGCCGTGTCGCATGCCTCACTTTGTAGTGAAATTGGTGATGTGCCACGGCAAACATTCGGGTGCTGTGACCCTGAACACGGTGCATCCAGGCCTCTGTGCAAGCGAACAGTGGTCCAGACACGCGCCACGTGCCTGCTACACTGTAGCAGCTACAGTCACTTGCACGAACTTGGAACTGCCTGGCAATGCTGCGAAAGGACTCAAGCCTATGCACCAGCCCTCCACATCTGGATTCTCCATCCACTGCTCCAAGATGTGTTGAGGTACCTGGACCACAAGCTCTTTGAAAGCCACGAAGGCCTGTGGAGGCACTTTATGAAGGGTCAACTGGCTCGATGCAGGTCTTCAGCACGCAGCGTGGCTCAGCCGCTGCCAATGCTGTGCTACTCGATGCTGTATTTCTGGCTTTTGTCATGCTCGCGCCAGAAAACTGCGCCAAAATCAGCACAATGTCTGTTCTTGGATTCCAATCCAGCGTCCGTTCAAGCCAACAAAGACATCATCTGGAATCTGGAGTCTACAAAGCCAGTAGGATCTGAACAGCCGCGAGGGATGTAGCAATTTCCAGTTTGGGCTTTGCAGCTCTGGGTCCTAGAGCTGTCGATCTCTCCAGCGTGTCTTGAAATCGAGCACATACTCTGGGAGGTTTACAAAGCGGACGAAGCGGGTACCGACAGATACTAGTCAATGTTAGCATGAAGGCTTTCCAGCGAGAGTTGCAGAAGAGGTGGATGCCAACAGTTGCCTGCAGAGGGCAAGGCGCATGGCCTTCGCCTTCACTCTCCGCCTAAGGAGACAGACCTGCATTCAAGGACTTTTTATACTGACAGACGTGAGAAGGACTGTCTTGCAGTTGAACGAGCAGACTGCATGAAACTGCAAGGGAAGAACCAAGTGATCATCCAGCAATCTGTTTTAGCATGGACGTGGGGCTGCAGCAGTTTGGAGACGTAGGTTCGGTTCACATGTCCCGACACCCGCGCAATAAAGCTGCAGCTGGGTTGAGCTGCGTACTCCTTCCTGTTGGTGGCGCACTCCGCTAGACAAAAGCAATCGACCAAGAGGATCATCTTGCAGAGAACTTCCGGTCCACCTTGACATATGCAGACCGGTGAGCCATGGTTGCCCTACACTGCCTTACACTGCCCTCGCACTCTGGATGACCCTGTTCCCAATCTGACCCAGCGATCTTCGACAATGAGCTGAAAACCGCCATGAAGCCGAACATCTTGGAGCAGCTTGGAGCCCACTGAGAAGGGCACAACATGCGCTCCCTCAGGGCTTCCAGCGCGCCAGCCGAGAAGTGGACAGCGTTGCTGAGCAGAAACAGAGGGATTGTGGGGGGCATGGAGTCATGGAGTCATGAAGAGGGGCCACATGCGAACTCAGAGGAGCTAGTCACTGGCACTTCCACTAGCCAGGTCCAGCCAGGTGCAGTGCTGGAGCAGGGCTGGGCACTGCGCTGGCTCTGAGTGTCGCTGAGAAGCTGGCTCCGAGGTCGTGGGCTGCTGGCTTAACCCGCACTCCTTTAACACTTGAAGGTTCTGCCCACATTTGTGACAGAGCAGGCTTCATGGAAGCTGATACGCAGCTGATCCACATGGAGTTGTGCGCAGTGCAAACATAGATCCACACTTCGGGACTTCTTTCCTTTTGTACCATGTTCCGCCTGCCAGTGGTGGAAGAGCTGCCCACGTATGGAGTCTGTGCTAGCCTCGTCCGTCGTGCATACTGCAGACATGTCACCAGAAAGACCGTGGAGTCTAGAGTCTAGAGCAAAGGAAAGTGGTGTTAAGCAACGTGAATGATTAGATCCCGCCGCCTGCGAGGGGTCCGTGGCACCCAGAATCTCCTCAAACTGCTTCCAGGAGACCTGCTCCAACGCCATGTCAGCACATCACCTATCATCACCCGGTCCAGGCATATCCAACGCGCTAGCCTGCCTTCTGCTGCTTCAAGACTCAAGTTCAACGGCATTCCCAGGCACAACTTTGCAGTTGTTTTGTTGGAAATGTGTTCTGTAATTTTATGTATTTTACTTCTTTGCTCGAAGTACTTGTGCATCCTGCTTCTTTCGCTCCAGGGAGGCTCCAACTACTCCGAAACACATGTCGAGGTGCCGACCCCTCCAAACCCTAAAACTTATTGTGTGCTGGGCATTCGAAAACTCCAAGTGCTGTGATTGCGCCATATCGAGACTCAGCATTTTGTGTTGTAGGTTGCAACTTGTAGCTTGTCACTTCTTGAGATGTGAGACACATCCAAACGATGTACAGCATGTCCTTTTGATGGGTGGCTTCGGTTTGTTGCACTGACGTCCTATTGTTGCCGGTGCCCATCCCAGCAACAGGCGTTGCACTTGAGTGCAAACGCATTGCCTGTTTAAGGGGAGGGACATGGCGATGCAGAGGTGAGCAACAACAGAAGCAAAACAACAAAGCAAGAAACAGAAGTAAAGCAAACAGTTCGCACTGAGCCAAACAAGCAAATCATCCAAAAGATTTCCGGTACGAAAAAAGCTTTCCTGTCCAATTGGAAGCAACAACCTAGGAGCACCAGCCTGCCGGGGATCGAACTCGACGACGTACCAGGCAGCTGCCTACCAAAGGCAGCGACCGGTCGGTGAGCAATAGCAGCTCTGTGCAGCAATGATAATAAAAGCACCTACCATCTCAGAGCATAGCAAAAAAAAACCATTCCTGACCAAGAATTCAATCAATCCAGCCTCACCCTGCATGCTGAAGGCGTGGCGCCTGGTGGCTCTGTCGGGCAGAAATGCCAGGTCTATGGATTACTATGGATGTGCGCTGTGGGTAGCGATGGCAACAATGCAAGACTGGCAAATTTAGGGCGCACCAGTGCGGGACAAAGCCATTGACGACGAAGACAGAATCGGTCTGCGTGGTCACTTTGCCGACGTAGAGCGAGGGTTCCTAGGTGCATCAGGTCTGCTCATTTCCTATGTTCAGCTGTGGACCTACTCGACCAGTCGTGCTAACCTTATAGAGCAGCTGTGTTGACCTAATTACTCGGCCAGCGATCCGACTTGCTAGAACCCAAAGACGAGACGAACTCGGCATGTGCTTTTAGCGCCGCACGGCTTTGCAAAAATGGGGGTTTTGCTCGTTCGCCTGGAACTACGCAGAACGACCGTGCATGCACGCATGTCTCCCGCCCTCACTTCTCGCCGAAGAAGAAGTACGGGAGGAAGTTGGCCACGTACTCGTCGAACTCATCCTCGGGAGGCAGCAGCACAGACTGGTTGTCGAGGAGCAACAGCAGCAAGTAGAAGAGGAAGAGCATCACGATTCCAAACACCATCACGAGGACGGTCGGAATGCTGTCCTCCTTGGCAACCACACCAGCCTCCGCGTTCAATGGCTTCAGCAGGTCCGACAGACCAGTGCGGATACCATAGCCTTCTGGGAGGGGGTCGCGTTCACCGTAAGGTGCTGTTCGCTTGGCGTTGCCCACCGGGTAGTAGCCTGGCCTTTCCGCGGGCATCTCATCGTACCGGACCACGTTGATCTCGCGCTTCGTGGCGGGCGAGTTCACGAAGCTCAGCTGGCTGCTGAGGGCCCACAGGCAAGCGCAGCCAGCAAGCAAGGAAAACCTTGGCGGCCGAACTCCCAGCAAGTAGCATTCTCGCGCAAGCAACACTTCCTTGCTGCTCTGGGGATCGGACATTCCACGTGCCATGGCGTGAGCGAAAGGCTTGCAAACTAACACTAACACGGCCCAAGTTTCCCCCAGTGGCAGCCCTTTACGCTGCAGCGGTGCCAACTCAGAGATCAGCTGCATGCGATGCTCTACTGTCAGAGCGCAACATCGAGTTGAAAACCGTCTGCTGCAATACACTAAGCACAAGCAATGTGAGTAACCAGCCCGAACAAGGCTCTTCCTTCCGAAGTCGCACATCAGAACGCGCAGAGAGATTAACTAAATACACTGAGCTGTGCTGCAAGATGTCTGTTTCGGAGGTGTTGATCACTTCTCGCCGAAGAAGAAGTACGGGAGGAAGTTGGCCACGTACTCGTCGAACTCATCCTCGGGAGGCAGCAGCACAGACTGGTTGTCGAGGAGCAACAGCAGCAAGTAGAAGAGGAAGAGCATCACGATTCCAAACACCATCACGAGGACGGTCGGAATGCTGTCCTCCTTGGCAACCACGCCAGCCTCGGCGTTCAGTGGCTTCAGCAGGTCCGACAGACCAGTGCGGATGCCATAGCCTTCTGGGAGCGGGTCGCGTTCACCGTAAGGTGCTGTTCGCTTGGCGTTGCCCACCGGGTAGTAGCCTGGCCTTTCCGCGGGCATCTCATCGTACCGGACCACGTTGATCTCGCGCTTCGTGGCGGGCGAGTTCACGAAGCTCAGCTGGCTGCTGAGGGCCCACAGGCAGGCGCAGCCAGCAAGCAAGGAAAACCTTGGGCACAAGAACGTGTGTTGCGAACTGCCGGTGGTGCTCCTACTTCACTGGCACTAGCAGGAAATTGTGCAGACGCCCTTGGCACATGCCTTGATTCAAGCGCTAGGGGTGTGGCGTTCCGCGCGTCATGGCGGAAGGGCGGCAGAAAGTTACAGTGCGCAACTTGAAAAACCCCAAACTGCTGCAAAGTACCAAACATCTCGTCGCTCCAGTCAAATCATGACTGACGTAGTTTGTGCGGTACAGGGTTTGGGCACGATTGTTGTTTGGCAACGATGAGACCGACAGCAGAGCTCGGGCTGAAGACTGGCCCCGGCCAGCTTGGCTTCTTTAAAGTCCTTCATACGTCTGAATACGTTTTGAAGACTTCCGCGCTCCATTTAACACCCGTGTCCAGGGACTATCAAAGGCAACACCGCACAGTCCTCCTCACCCTGGTACTGCCTGCTCTGTTGCATCCCGTGATCCAAGACAGTGTCGGTAAAACTGCAACAAAACCGGGGCTGCAAATGCTGCACCTGAAGGCTTGAAGGGTCTTGCAGAGGCCGTTGCATACAACCCGCCCTTGCGTTGAAATCGCTCACGACTCACAACTGCCTTCAAGATCGCTGCAATGCTGTGTTGATCAGGTACGTCGTTTGCGGAGTTGTGGCAGATGTTATGCTTAGACATGTTCCATACAGTTTGCATCCCAAAAAGGGAGACAAAAAGGCAAAGACCCTACACTTTAGCCATTGCAAATCTCTTCTCGTCTGGCAGGGGGCGAACTGTCGGCAAAACTGTGCACTGAACTCTGCATTCATACTTCTGTATTCTATTTTCCAACAACGTCCGACAGGTTGAGCTCGGAACATGTTGCCATACCGTACATTGGTATTGCTAAAGTCCTTGTTTTTCGTTCTTGCTAGCCTTCGCTGAATAATCACACAAGGCAGCAAAACACCCGCCAGAGTGCGCGTTGCTGCAAGCTGATTTCAGCCGTAACAGTTCGGCTGGGCAAACTTAGGCAAGACACAAATGAGCAAAAGATGATGATGATGATGATGATGATGATGGTGATGGTGATGATGATGATGGTGATGACGATGATGATAATGATGATGATGATTGTGATGGATGATGATGATGATGATGACGACGTGATGATGATGACGACGACGACGATGATGATGATGACGGGAACGCGACTCGGGACCATCCTTGTTGTCGGGAAGGGTTCAGGTTTTGGGGGCTTTCCAAGACTGATGCACCCTCAGGTTCTGGATGAGGTCAAGGGACATATCTGGCCTGCAGAACAAAAGGCGGCCATCTGTTCACTTGAAGACAAAGGCCTGATTCAACCAGGGCTTTTTTCACGTCTACACTGAGTCTACACGATTCAGTGGTCTGGCAGGCGACCAGAGGAGCTACAAGGTATGCGGCTGCTTGCCAGGAGCACCGGCGGAAGGACGGATTCAGCGCCGCAGGCTGCGTTGTTGAGTTGGAGTGCGACTGTGCAGCATCTCTCCCTACCCTCACTTCTCGCCGAAGAAGAAGTACGGGAGGAAGTTGGCCACGTACTCGTCGAACTCATCCTCGGGAGGCAGCAGCACAGACTGGTTGTCGAGGAGCAACAGCAGCAAGTAGAAGAGGAAGAGCATCACGATTCCAAACACCATCACGAGGACGGTCGGAATGCTGTCCTCCTTGGCAACCACACCAGCCTCCGCGTTCAATGGCTTCAGCAGGTCCGACAGACCAGTGCGGATGCCATAGCCTTCTGGGAGCGGGTCGCGTTCACCGTAAGGTGCTGTTCGCTTGGCGTTGCCCACCGGGTAGTAGCCTGGCCTTTCCGCGGGCATCTCATCGTACCGGACCACGTTGATCTCGCGCTTCGTGGCGGGCGAGTTCACGAAGCTCAGCTGGCTGCTGAGGGCCCACAGGCAGGCGCAGCCAGCAAGCAAGGAAAACCTTGGGCACAATCGAGTTTGACTGCGGACTGAACGAAGCTACGCACTTGCATGGGCATCCTGTTCCCCACCCCCACCCCCCTCATGCTCAGGATATGGCATGCCGATGCTGCTGTGAGCCATGGCGGGATACGCGCGGCACGAACTCAAGCACCCTTGAAAAGCAAAAACTGCACAAATTGGCGCAAATCAGCATGTGCTTTGTCGGAGGAAGAAAGCATGGCCAGCATTTGCCAACAATAATGACGACACCACGATGGAGGAAGTAGCCTGCAGCTAGCAGGGATCACTGCAAAAAGAACAGCTTGCACGAACTTACCGAATGCCAACGGCAAACTCTCACAGATCGAAGTGCAATAGTGCAGCCATCATACCCAGCGCATGCATTCTCATAGGTTTTTTTTCAAAAAACTCTGATTCAGCCTGTCCTGCTGCCACAAAGCAAGCACCTTACCGGACTTGAGGCTGGCCAGACGTTGAGAGGTTGTTTGTACAGAGAAAGCGTTACAAGCCCTGTCTCCCTCACTTCTCGCCGAAGAAGAAGTACGGGAGGAAGTTGGCCACGTACTCGTCGAACTCATCCTCGGGAGGCAGCAGCACAGACTGGTTGTCGAGGAGCAACAGCAGCAAGTAGAAGAGGAAGAGCATCACGATTCCAAACACCATCACGAGGACGGTCGGAATGCTGTCCTCCTTGGCAACCACACCAGCCTCCGCGTTCAATGGCTTCAGCAGGTCCGACAGACCAGTGCGGATGCCATAGCCTTCTGGGAGGGGGTCGCGTTCACCGTAAGGTGCTGTTCGCTTGGCGTTGCCCACCGGGTAGTAGCCTGGCCTTTCTGCGGGCATCTCATCGTACCGGACCACGTTGATCTCGCGCTTCGTGGCGGGCGAGTTCACGAAGCTCAGCTGGCCATAGAGCAGCCAAAGGCATGCGCTGGCAAGCAGCGCAAAGGCCACAGACCTCCGCTGTCATACAAGCTCTTCACGCAGTGGGCAAACAAAGTCATGACAGAAGCGTCAAAATTGGATCGTATCGATACACCTTGCGCCGCCCCTACTATGATCAAGAGGTCCAGGCAGGGTCCAGGCAATGACCAAAGTCACCGAAGTATCGACCAGCGATATGCAGAGCAGGGAATGGAACACGAACAGGCTACTCCGAATGTTACCAATGCTCACAAGCGCTCACAAGCCAGAATGCATCCAAGGTCGGCGCGATCGGGCCATGCTGTCGAGCTTGGGCTAGCGCCGGTTAACTCTTCACCAGCACTTGCCGTGCAAAATTGAAGATGCTGCAGGAGTCGGATGAGGTTTCAGCACTAAAGCCGCTGTGATGTTGAATTCTTCTCCCTCCCCCAAGCCAACCCCGCTCCCGCCCAGATCCGCCCAGTGTGGCATCTGGGTCTTTAGTCTCTGGAATGCTTTTGATGTCTCTAGCAGCTTTGCATTATCCGATAGTAGCCGCCTAGCCCCGCACCCTCAAGAGTTGGTCATGTCCGCAAGTCTCCATGAGTATGGAGGCTTTAACTTTAGAGGTTGCCTTGATTTGTCTGACGCTGCAAAAATCTACCAAGCCCTGAAAACACAGCTTGCAAGCAAACGTGGCGACGTTTTCAAAAATGTCGGCGTATGCAGTGAGAGGCTTACATGTAAGCACAGAAGGGTTCTCTGCGAGAGCGACCGTGCATGCACGCATGTCTCCCTACCCTCACTTCTCGCCGAAGAAGAAGTACGGGAGGAAGTTGGCCACGTACTCGTCGAACTCATCCTCGGGAGGCAGCAGCACAGACTGGTTGTCGAGGAGCAACAGCAGCAAGTAGAAGAGGAAGAGCATCACGATTCCAAACACCATCACGAGGACGGTCGGAATGCTGTCCTCCTTGGCAACCACACCAGCCTCCGCGTTCAGTGGCTTCAGCAGGTCCGACAGACCAGTGCGGATGCCGTAGCCTTCTGGGAGGGGGTCGCGTTCACCGTAAGGTGCTGTTCGCTTGGCGTTGCCCACCGGGTAGTAGCCTGGCCTTTCTGCGGGCATCTCATCGTACCGGACCACGTTGATCTCGCGCTTCGTGGCGGGCGAGTTCACGAAGCTCAGCTGGCCATAGAGCAGCCAAAGGCATGCGCTGGCAAGCAGCGCAAAGGCCACAGACCTCAGCCAGCAATTCTGGCAAGCGACTCCGACTTCTAGCCTTGGTTTTTTGCGCTACTCGAGCACAGAGGCAGCATCAGTGAGGCTCCATGATTTTTTACATGAGGCTGGGGCGATCGAGCTGCCATCGCCGCAACTGCGGAGAGAGTCTCCGAGAAATCCTCTCAGCCGATGTCTACGCGAGCACGGAGCCGAAACACAGCAACGGTTGAATCGCTTTGCATTTCATCATTGCAGGCAAGTTCCTTTCAAGTTGCATGACCCGTTTTATACACCCATGCACATGCACAAAATCAAGACTTGCCTCTCAAAAGTCGCGGTGTGAATGGGCATGTCATTCATGGGTTGTGTGCAACGTCTGCATCTGAGACAAGCGCAAGCTTTATGAGGGGACTGCTCTTCCACAGCACGAACATCTCCTGATGTCCAAGTGGGTCTGCGATCAGGTTTCTGAACCGAAGCATTAATTAATATGCTTGAAGCATACAAGCATACAACAGCACACATGGAACATGCCTCAGCCGAAATCCCCAGCTTTGTGGCCGCGGCCTGTCAAAGTCATGGCAGCTTGAGCAATGCTTACACTCTGGTGCACAGAATTCGTGCAACTTAGGGCGCCCGATGTGCAAAGCTGCACTGCGCGGCCTCGGCGCCAAGCGGTGCGGCAGCAGCAAAAGCAACGCCTCAGGGATGAACCACTCCGACCCAGAGATGCCAGAACCGCATCATCGAGCGAGAGAGAGGGAGTGAGTGGATCGAAACTGGACCCCAAAGCCTCTTGAACAGTGCACCACTGTGGGCACCGCTTGTGAAAATCTTGCGAGAGTCGAAAAACTTGAGGCTGCCCGACACATCACATACTGGAGTTCCGTCTGGAAGCTGAGCTGGCTGAACACTGAGGCACTCATGCCAATGCCCATGCAAGCAAAAAGCAAGGCACGCCAAGACCTGGTTGCTTCGGATCGTTCCGTTTCCTTTGGCTGAACCACAGATCCTCCGCGCCTCGCAAACGCCGCCTCGACCAAAGGTCTGCGGTGATCGGTGGTGATATTAACTCGTTGCCCAGCAGTGCTCTAGTAGGTTTCGCTTCTGTCGGTTTCCTTTTGGGAATTGACGGTTTGCAAAGCAGCATTGCGCTCCAGTTCATGTCCTGGGGCAGCGCTGTATCTCGGTGCAGACAAACTTGCGCCGCTCAGCCAGCATCATGAGCATCTGGGGGCCCGGGCTTCTCCCAAAATACCTCTCGGAAAATGGTCCGGGTGGCACCCAAAACTGGTGTTCCACCCGCGGAAACCCTTTCAGACGGATCAGCTATGCAGGGCATGAGACGACAGCTCTACCAGTCCAGCGGGCATTGCCAGCCAGCATTTTGACATGTTCTGGTTCGCCTGCACTCATGCTGTCTCATGCTGTCTCAATGTTCATCCGCTAGAGGCTCTCCCCATGAAGCTCGCTCGATGCTGCTGTTCTTGAAGGGAGCGGCATGATGCCCAACAGCGGCTCAGCATCATAACAAAAGACAGACCAGCACGCTCGCCCGAGCAGCTTGCCGAAGGTGTCCTCAAAGAGAGCTGCTGCTGCGCCAGAAACCTACAGGCTGGGTAGGATTGGTTTCTGCACCTGCAGTTTGGGGGGCCGACTGAATCTGTAGCACTTTGGTGTGCCTTGAAGTCGGATGGAAGACCAGCAGCCAATCGGGCAAGCTGCAGGTACTGCGGCAGACGAGTAAACGAGCCTATGGGCAGATTAATATAGTACTGCTCTCTTCGAAGGGCTCCTGCTTGTCGAACATGTTCTTCTCGGCAATGTCCTGTTCACATGTTTATGCGACAGAACCACCGAAACTGCCCGATTAACACCGTCAATGCATGGTGCGGCATTGGCCCAGGTGGCAGGTTCCGATCTGCCTTGGCAGCAACGACGCCCTTCTCGACGATGGAAATCTGGAGAAGGACTTTCGGGCTACAACGTTTACGGGACAAACACTGAAAGCACGAGCGGAATGCCAGATGTTGCTTTTCTGCTTGCTTGCAGCGCGTGCGAAAGCCCCCCAAGTCCGCAAGCGACCGGTCGCTCTGAGCACGTTGGCCAGTGAGAAGAATGTGAGAAGCTAGTTGTGGGCCACTTGATCCCAGAATGTCCAAGGAACAGCAGATAACAACAGCGCACTGACGGCACCCATGGCGCCGTAGCCCTTTAACAATCTGTGCCATGTGCACCATGTGCAATGCGTTTTTAAAGGTGTGCTTATGTCCTATGTACGTTGCCGCCTTGGGCAAGCTGTAGGAGGCGGAGCTGGCGAAGGAAGTCAGCTTGAAAGTCCAGAGGGATGGAAATCCAGCCCAGCTCACATTGGAAGAGCACTTCATGTCCAGATCGTATGGCATCCTTGAGGCCCTGCGATGAGAGGAAGTGAGCGAAGTTTGACATTTTGTACACTTTCAGCCGTGCACATCGTGCACAATAGCCGGCCTGGTTGACCACCAGCTCCTGGAACTCAGCAGGGTGTCCTCTTTGACAGCTGTCTTGATCTCGAAAGCGTGCAGGACAACAACCGACATGTTCTGTTGCTCCGTTGGCTTTGTTTCCCGAGACTTCATTCCTCGTGGTTCCTTTTCAAAGACAATTGCTGCGCTTGCTTTCCGAAAGCCATCCCGTGCTGTTGAAGCCGTTTTTAAAGTAACAGCGTTTTGGCCGCAACTGGTCGCAGTCGCGTGCTTCGCCCCAGAGCAAAGAAAAAAGAATCGTGCGTCAGGAGAATTCGTTACCCATTCACAAGGAGTGGCAGATGCGTTGTGCTGCTTAGTGTGTGACAGCGTTTGCAGCTCACATGCCCAAATTGCAGGCAGTGCACAAAGTCTTCCATGTCCTTCATCCCAAAAGCACCGGGACTTCCGAGGCCAAGCAAAAGAAAGCTTGCCTAACGGCCTCAACAGGATCTCGCACACAAAGGCTAAGTCGGCAAAGTCGTGTCACTTCCAAGAAGCAAAAGACACCAAAGCTTCAAATCATCATCACATGCTCTCTTCCCTGTTTGCTCTTCAATATTGCCTCAAACGATTGCTGCAACAGAGCAACCACACTGAGCAAGGCGAACCCCATGCAGACGCGGCAGCCCGATCGCCTCAAGCTCGGAACAAATCAGTCAAAATGACTCAGCGAGACAGTTTCAGCAGAGAGGGTTGAAGGCCATTAGGGTTGAGGGTATAGGGCCTATAGGGTTTGTCGTAGCGATATAAGGGGCCAAAGGTTCTAGAGGAGAAGAGGTGTCCGACGAAAGCCATCTGAAAAGTCGGAGGTGCCACAGAGGTGGCCGGCACTTGGCAGCGGTGCCTGTGGTGCTCCGCGCCTGTACTGACAAAAGAAGGCAACACAAATGTCTTTGCAAATGAAATGCTCAGGATATCTAGATTCATGGGGCGACGGCCCGCACTGATTCACTGGACCCCCCCCCCCCAATTAGGGGGTTCAGGGTTTGCACGATGCCTGCGTGTCAACATGTAGTCCTCCAGCCGCGCAAAGAACTCAGCACCGGATGGCCCATATGTGGTGGACTTCAATAAATCAGGGACTGGCGCCAACCGAGTAGGCTGCCTGGAATCCTTCATCAGGGTTTACTCATGTTGACCCCGTATGCATCGGCATCCTAAAACATCTCAACACGTGACTTCCCCATATCTGCCCATCCTTTTCTCGCAGCCTCCCCACGATACAGGCAGCCTTCTGCCAGGCTTGCGCTCAGCCACTCCACAGGGCAGAAAGCTGCCACCAGCGCGACCGCCCTCTCCACAGATAGCGTCTGAGAGCCGAGACCCGTCTGAGCAATGGCTTTTGGCCTTCGTGAGGGCTGGCGGACTTCTACTCGGACTCTTAAAGAATCTTAAAGACATCTAAAGACCCACACGATTTGAAAGCAGCCACTGCGGCGTCAGCGGCCTGTGCCCTTGCCATGCGAAGGCCATCCAACACACCCCACACATCCAACGGCGGCATCGAGAGGACTCGCGGGCATTGCGAACATTGCGAACATTGCGAACATTGCGAAGAAGATGATCAAGACACAGAGGTTCAATTGCTTTGACCTGGCCACCGCGGCCAAGCACGGAGAATTAACAGAACAGGCGCTTCCGTGCAATTCCACCTGAGCTGACTGTAAGGCGCCTGCTCCCGCCGCTGCCAGAGGCTGCTGGCTGGTTGAGCACTGGCGGGAGGGCAGCTGGAGACCTAAATCCATGGGCGTCCGACTGGCCAAGCATATGATGTGGTAGTAGCATTCCAGACGAGCGGTGCCTTTCTTGATGCAAGATGGCTGCCACATTCTGAACGGCATGTTCGAGGGCGCTTCCACTAGCTGGATCAAGCAGGCACAGCGACTGCACGTGTAGGCACTGTAGCGTGGCTTCCCACGATACGGCACGCATGCCACAAACAGCTTCAGAGCTGCAACAGTTGAATTTCTGCTTCATGGAGGCTAACATCATGTAGTACTGTTCCGGAAGCTTAGTAAAAAGCAGCAAAGTGCATCGCTCGATGACGGACGGAGCCTTGTGTGTCGTGAAGAAGGATTGTACGAAGCGCTGCGTATCCTGCTATTCAGATGGCAAGGCCGAAAGGTTTCCAGCTAGATTAAAATCTTTTTTCGAAACCTGGCTGAAAGCAAAAAAAGCGGGCAACCACATACCGATTTTGTCAGTTGAAATTATCATAGCCGGAATCTGATGCGATCCGCCTTGTTGAAGGAGGACGGCTTGATGAGCACAAGGGCCTCAGCACTTAAGCCACAACATGACAGCAGAAGATGTCATGCTGCGGCCATGAAGGCTAGCAGTGTGGCCTGGTTCAACAGATGCCCATCCTGCTCGTTGTGCATGACCTGCTAGCAGTGCAACGCAGTGCTAGCACTCAAGCAGCATGGTTTCGCGCCATTTTGCACTCGCGACTCGCGAAGACTAGGGAGCCTCCTGGACACAGCTCCACACCTCATCAAGGCCTTGCTCGGCATTGATCCTTCCAGAAAACCCAGCTGCATGACATGGCCGAGAGATGCCGAGAGCTTCGCACCCGAGCAGACAGGGTGTCCTGCGCATGGCCCCTTCCCTGCTAAAGCTTTCGACCACGGGAAGCGACCTGACGAAAGGCGCATGTGATACATTGTGATACGATTGCCCACGACATTATGCAGCTCGTCTTGCAAGAACCAGTGGCACACCGTGCAACTCCTACGGCATCTTCCTATGCTTCAGTCGTTCCACGTCCCAGGTAGCAGGCTCCTGTGTGTAGGTGGCAAAACGCTTTTTGATAGACTCCTGCAAGGACAGGCTGAAAGCATGCTACTTAAGCATGCCTGCATGCTGGCAAGAGACCTTCTTGCAATGGCAACGCACAAGATCCTAGCTCTACTCCATAAAACCCTTCCAAGGTCCCGACTAAATTGTCATCGGACCGACCACTTGTTTTGCCCCGCTCAAGCAGTCGGGCCTGCGGAAGGGTCATGGCAGATCGGGCGACGCGGCTTTCGTTTCTTGAAAAGCAACGGGCAACGGGTTTGCGCGAGAAAGCCTCCATCACTGCTTCGGAGCAATCGAAGAACAAGCAGAACCTCACATCTACCTCCAGATTGCTCCAGCAGCTGCACAAGGACATTGCACGTTGAACAAACTGAACAGAACATGTGGCACATGCACTTGCAGGAATGTTTGCTTCCGACTCTTGACCAAGTCTTACGGCCACTCAAGACCGTCTGACAGAGACATCAGGAAGCCAAAGCGGCAAAGAAAGAGCAGAGGAAGAACAGGGTCATGCTTTCGAGCAGCCTCCACACGAGGACACAGGAGGACACAGGAGGAACAGAAGGAAGAAGAAGCGAATCAAAACAAACGCAAAGTGCACATGGTTTTCTTAGGAAAGTGCAAGGACCACGCAGAGTCATGAACAAGTCTTCCCTACAGGATCCCTACGGTCTACCCGTCCGCCCCTCCCGTTCGCAAGATTTCGCAAGCTTGAGCAGGTTCAAACAACAGCATGTCAGCCCATGGGGCCTTAAATTATCATGTTTAACAAGGGCACCATAATAATTTAATTCGCTTTCTAACAGAAACAATACTAACAATTGTAAGAATACTGTATGCGTGCCCCTGTAGTTTAATATTTAGCACGCGATATGAGAATACTATTGCGAAGAGAAAACGAAGACGGGAGTGTACGCACTAAATGCCTTAGTGATTATATCTGCTACGAGAACCGCCGACGAAAAGTCACCATCTCACTTGCATGCCAGTACTAGATAGGCAACGCAACTCTAGGTAAGATCAGAAGCAAACGAAACAAATCTTAAACTTTAATAAACATCCTAAACGAAGCTTCGACCTTCAAAATCGTGAAGACTCATTGTGCGCCCTCATGAACTTCTCGGGAAGAGCCGGTGAAACATTTGCTTGGCTTGATTCAGAAAGAACAAGGGGTTGGGGGTTTGCGGCTCCGCCCATGCACACGCGTTGCCCACGGCCATTTACCTTAATAGCGGTGGCACCAGGGATATCAGAAGTTTCCTGATTTCACTTATGGTTTCAAGCTATTTCTTGTTGTTGCCTATCCTTGACTGAGTGAGACAGAGAGAGAGAGAGAGAGAGAGACAGAGAGAGAGAGAGAGTGAAAGAGTCATCTCAACACTGCCTTCGAGCCGATCATGTCATTCCAGCCCTGCATGTTCTCATTGCTCCTCCGAGAATCGCGGGCGCAGGCATCTGACACGAAGGTATACGTAGTAAAGATCAGCTGATGAGATTCGTTTGCCACCAGTCTTGGTCCGGTCCAGTGTTCCTCTTTTGTTGCGTTTCCCCTGCACGGACCTTTAGGGTTCTGGAAACTTGGTGGAAGAAGAGAAGCCGCTGGGACGGCGGATGGTGCCGTTGTGTCCTTGACATGCCTTGAGCCGGCCAAGGCGGACAAGTTCTGGCATGCAACCTGACCCACACCCTCTCCTCGGGAAGCCATCGATGAGGTACTTGCCATCTTCCCAACCTCGTTCTTCCATGGCTTTCTGCAGGAGACGAACCACCTTGGTACTTGCATGTGTTTACTGCCCTGGAGCCGCGCCAAACAAATGGGACCTGAGGCCTTGACAACTGACACTGGCACAAGCTTGCCCTCCTGTCTGTCTATATGGTTCTCAAGAGACATACTTAAACTGACACGAGTTCAGCAAAGGATGGTGCTCATCACACGGGTTTGGTAGCAACCAGATGTCACGCATGACACAGCGGGCCTTGATGTGGCTCTCAATCAACTCGCCGAGTTCTGATCCTGGTCTTTTTCTCTCCTCCAGGCTCAGCATATCAGAGCAGAGCCCCTAGCCGACTCCGACTAGACTTGACGAAACTACTCCGAAAGTTTTGGGGAAACACTAATATGGGAGGAACGGTAGTTGGCCTCTCGCGACTCTCGCGCTTCACAGAACCAAGGTTCCGAACAAAGCCAGAAGCTTCCCCCACACTTGCAGACAGCCTCGCGCAGCAGGTCTCCAGCCGAGAGGTGCTGGAAGCCGAAGTTTGCTGCGATGCGAGCGCACCTGATACACCGTACAATCACTTTACCGCCAGGCACGTGGCGACGTTGCCCACTCGTTGCCCACTCGTTGCTCGTTGCCCTCTGAGTCCCGTGCTGTGTGCCTTTACCCGCACCTGGACCTCCGAGCACGAAGATCACTTGCGGACCAAAATTCCTGCACGCCGAATGACAATTCCAATGATTCAAGAGGCCCGAATTGCGGTGAGACTCCAAGCACATGAGATAGCAAACCGCGGCCGTTCCTCTGCACGTCGCTCCAGACCTTGGAGAACAGCCACCGGGTACACGGGGATGAGGGCGGAATCAAGGCACGACAATCGGACAAAGCAAACATGTCAATCAGATGCGGGTGAGAGGGGGGTGGGGGGAAGTGAATCAAAAATGTTCAAAGAACGTGCGGCGATCATTCGGAAAGCGACGCAGGCTCAATCAGAAAACGCATAGGCTGGATGCGGGAGCGATACGGCCTGAAATGGCGCTCACGGCAACCAGAAAAAATGTTTGCCATTTGGTCATGTTAAGTCACAGCCGAATGCTCCAACCAGAGAAGTTCCAACTCAGCCCAGCTCAGCCCCGCTCAGCCCCCCTCTTTGCAACACCACTAACAATATGTAACAATTAGCAGTCCCACACCCACGAGCCCCAACAAAGACACGTGAAAATGCACCTGACTAACTGACTAACACCCAATACCCATGGCCCGGTACCTCTTCAACTCTTCGCATCGTGGAGGAGTTCGGAGGCCATTCATGCCATTTCAAACTTCAGAAACTCACATAAAAAAAAGCTTACCGTTTCAATGGGGTCTGGAAACGAAGATCGAAGGTTTAGGGGCGCGTGAATCATGCTTCACGGGTCTGTGATGGGGCTTGGAACTATATCAATGCAACTTGTAAAATGGGGCCGGAAGCCCTTGGAGGTTCGGAGGCCATCCAGAACTGGTTTACCTGTTTGGAAGAAAACTTCTCAACTTAAGAAATCAATTTCAGGAGTTTAGCTCTCATCCCTCGGCCCGAGGTCGGCCTTCTCGGAATCCTGCTCTGCGTCGATGCGCCGCACCAAGCCCTACCAAGCAGAACCGACAGAAGTAAATGGCATCTTCCGAAGTCCAATTCCGTAGTCGGACTTGCCGGAAAACGCTCAATAAAGCTGCATGAGAATCTAACCCAAAACGACTGCCGAAACAAGACAGTGCTCTAGATCCTGCAGACGGTAGTGCTCCACCACAGGCATCGACCTGTCAAGACTCTCACAAGGCCATGGCACCGCCACGGACACATCCAACACGTCCAAAACGATTTCAGCGTCAGTCCGCGCATGAATGGGCAAGTCCTCTCAACTTCTCAATCACACATCTACAAGGCAAAGCGGCTCTTGTTGGAAGGTCACGAAGCGCTTCTTGATTGACCTTGGCAAGATATCTAACAAGGAGCGCAGAATATGGCCGAGTTTGTGAGAGTTCTGAGTCGTGTACTCTAAGTTATCGTCGGCTCTGCCACTGGTTTTTCCACGCTCCATGAGCCGTACCTGGAACAAGAACTCTATCTCTAGCGGCCCAGCTAGCTGAAGTGCGACCATGAGAAGCGTAGTGATCCTCGCAGGCTAGCATATACATTTATGGTGATTTTTCAGTTGAATTGAACTAACTTCCGCACTTGATTCACCCTGGGCTCGAAGTACAAACCGTTCCAAAACAAAATGAACTTGCGCCCAGAGGGGGAGGGGGGGGGACGAAAGCTCTGCCTCGAATTTGAAAGGGACTGCAAGAAAGCGAACGGGGCTTTCATGATTCAAGGGAGGTCATTTCAGGGCTCCAAACCGGTAGCACGCGCGCTGAAACCGTCACCATAGGTTTATTCACTGACGTCGCCCCGGATGGGCAAACCCAACGCCGGCTACGGGCCAGCACTCCTGGGACGCCCCGGGACCCCCGCCCCTCCCAAAAACAAGGACCCGCGCATCAGGAGCATCAGCGGGCTGTCGTTTCTCCGAATATCGGCTGCCAAGCCGCCACAGAAACTGCCCAGCGGACACAGCCCCAAAATGAAGCACCGGCCCGGGATTAGCCTCGAAATCAGGCCGATTTTTCCGTCTAAATTGGGGTTCCGCCCCCAACCCCCTTACAGATCCGCTTACGCTGGGTATTAAACGAAAGGCTTCCCTCAAGTTTGAAGACCGAGCTTTGATTTAATCTTGATACTCTTGTTCTGAAAGGTATGAAGACAACGCAGTGCAAAATGCTGCCAACCAAAGGATATTGGCATCGCCTGCATTGTCTCCTCTGAAGCATCAAAGAAAAGCACGAACTTCACTCGCACCTCGAGCCAACTTCCAGCCAAATGAAAGACCGGGAACTGACTTCTGTGTGATCTGATGGGCGCAAACAGAAGGGATGCCACGTTTGAGCATTCTGGCCTGGGCATGATGGTCTTCTGAGGCACCAACAGAGTTGCCTATAACCGTCTCCCAGCCTTGATCTCGCAACAGCACTTGGAAAGGCAAGACATGGCACACTTAGAGCTTCAAGTGGCCCCAGGTTCTCTCTCGGAGAGCACACTCTGGGAAAGTTGCCGCCAAGGTTGTCGAAGCTGCGTGGAAATCCGTCAATCAAGTACCTCGTATGCAGTCTGGAAAAATCCATTCACGAACGAACATCAAAAAACTAAGCAATGCTGGGCAGAAGGAAAATCGGGAGCACCTTCCACCCTCCCAGCCAAACTTCATCATGGCCTCGTGTGAACTCGGGCAGCCGAGTGAGGCCACGCTTCAGTTTGCTGGCGAAACAGTTCTCCAAATCACAGTGAGACAAAGACACTGTGTCTGGAGCTGCAACGCAGCTGCAGCTTTTTATTCAGGTCTCATTCAGGCGTGGTTCGCACAAGACCTCATCCGGTCAGCACATGGATCAGCATGCACTTGCCTGCTTAAGAAGCTTGATGGTAATCTCCACTGGAACCAACTTGCCATCCTTCGCTGAAGCAGTGGCGGGCCCAGGCCCTAGCGACACCGGAGCTACGAAATTGCCTCATACAACTACATTACATCATACGAATCATACGGTATCTCCGGCGTCCTTGATGTAAGAGTTGATCAATTCACCGTACTCGGAGCCTTCGCGCGACCGCTCCTCCAAAGCTCTGAGATGATGCTCTGAGATGCTCTGAGATGTTTAGCCAATGAGCATTTCGCCCTGTACAATCTTCACATCTGCCTCTCGAAGCAGGTCCCCTGCGCTGAGGTGGGTGTAGCCAAAGCTTTCCTTCAAACCAGGGCCAGATACCATCATGCGCTCACTCACTATGGCACTAGGCTAGCGCAAAATCGACTGGCTCAAAGTTGTGTAAGCGACCGTTCGAGAGTGGACCTAATGAGTGCAACCTTGCCATGGCAACTCGTCACACCACTCAGGTCTCGTGACTTGTAGGCCCCGTACGGCTATCTTTGTGCACTGCGTGCCCTTTCCGGAGCCAGGGCCACCGAGCACGAACACGACGCTTGGCCCAAAGAGTGCCTGTGAATACATCACAAAAAACAATATATATATATATATACACACATATATATATAGATATATCCATGTAGTTTTTCCCAACCCTCGGTGTGGGGTGCGGGGTTGCTCGATATAGAACAAAACTCTTCTCCTCGCGGTGTGCCCAACCCTAGTCCCAGAATGTCTCCATAAACAGCGCTTGAATTGCCCAATGGAGTGCCCAACCCCAGAGTATCCCCAAACAATCCCTGGAGTGCCCAACCCCAGGGGTGAGCTTGCAAATTCCTTGCCTGCAGGGTGGGGATGTTCGAAGTAAAATAACGTTTTTGTCTGCAATTCTTGCTTGTATGTATATATACATATATATATATATACATATGTATATGTGTACAAGGCAGCTTAGCAAAAACAACACCATGGGACCAGCGAAAACACTGGCAGGCACGGTCAGGACCAAAGACCAATTCACAGCAGGCTCTGCCAGCAGGCCTATGTACGCCGACATAATTTGTCATGATGTTGTACCAGGATAGCCAAACCGAGTCAGGGTGGAAACACGTTTCAGGCCGAAGCTCGCGAACCAGAGTTGTCAGGATGCTTTGTTGGTCTTTGCCACTATCATTGTTGGGGGGTCACATCGGTCACCGAATCGCCCCCGATGAATCGACAACAGGCTAATTTTCAGGTCTGGGAACACATGAATTTTCTAAGACAGCAAAACAAACATCAGGCTCGACTGCGAAATACAGGACAATCTAAATAAAGAACTACTAAGACAAGATATGCAATGCAAGGTCTTTTCAGTGGCGTGCAAACCAAACGCAGTCAGACTTAAGTTGCATGCACAAGCATGCAACTCATGTTTGCAGATCCGGATCCAAAACAGATCGACTGCTTCATGGGGGGCAATCCACACAAAGGACCTGCACATCTCGCCACACATCATCACGGTGCTGTTCGGCATCTATCCTCCACTGCTGGCACAGCAAAGTTGCTTAAACAGTTGCTTCAATGTATAACATGCACAGAATGTGCTTTTTGGTCGAGGGTCCTGATGACACGCCCATCTGCTTGGAATTTCTCCACAACCGGCCTCGACTCCTGGACAGCCCCACGGCCGCTACCACTATCGGGGCATCCAAGTTACACCTGCAGTGTCGAAAGATTTTGACATGCGAGTGCGGGTGCGGGGCTTACCAAGACAATGGAAGCATCATCACAGACAATGACACGAGGCTCAGAAGCAAAAGGCAGATGTGCGATGGGTACCAGCACGATGTCCTGGTGAAAGGTAAGAAACCTTTTTCGGATGGACCTCGCATGAACTGAGCATTTGCGCTTGAAAATTGGTTAACAAAGTCCGGACCATGTCGGATACAACTTGAGACAAGTCACTCGATGTTGTCATCAGCGCGGCCGCTTGTCTTCCCCCGCTCCAGAAGCCGAGCCTTCGCATGCCAGAGTCATGGAAACTGGCAGCTTCAAGAACTTCACAAAGGATGGGTCGCCTTCTGTCCTGTACTCGCAGGTCTATGCAGGTCAGAAGGCGTCAAAAAAAAGGAGGGGTGCTTTTGCAGGAATATCTGAGCAGGTAGAGAACCGAAGCCAATGCAAGTTCCTTGCAGGCCTGAAGGGTGCTTTCGCATGCTTATTCAAAGCTCTTGTGGTTGATGGGCGCGAGGCGAGAGTCAAGCTTGAAAGAAATCTTCAGAGAAAGCAACACTTGGCTTCATCAGCATCATTTAGCATTGATGCGCTACTCGCGTGGCGAAGTCAGATGTAGCAAGGCTACGCACCTCCATGACCTGCTGACAAACATCCAGGTAGAGCACGAACTTGACCAACACCTGGCAGAGCCCCTTGCCAAGTGCTGCCCTGATTGAGCACTGAGTAAAGCGCAGAAGCTACAAGAGTGTCCACGGCTGCTTACAGGAGATACCCAAAAGTGCTTTACATCTCTATTCTGTCTCCGAACGCACCTGGTCTCCAGCCATTTGCTCCCAAGCTGCCAAATTGTCGAAGCTCCTTCGAACTACGCACCACTCTGAAGTTCACTCTGTCCTTGGGATCTGCGCAGTTGTGCTTGTCCCTGATAACATTTTCCTCCTAATTACGTGCAGACCGTAGGTCCGAACACAGACTTCTAGTCACTCTGCAAGGACGCTGTTGGGCTCAATTGGATGCTATTAGACCATGTAGGAAGAAAACGTCTAAGCTGCTACTAGCAACGGAAAATGATGGAATCGCAGGCCCGTTTTTGAGCGTTTGTGAGCAGCCTGACGCAGCCCAGATGTTTGCACTAAATAGTGGACGATAAATCTTGTCTGGGTCATATATTATCGTAAGGCTGTCTACTAGCAAAAGCTGCTTGTCTCGCTTGTTCGTTGCGAACAATGTAATGTCGGTGTGCGTGATTGATATGACCATAAGTCTTCTTCAAAGACGAGTAGAGCGACTTTTCATTGCTTCTTGCAACCATGGCGCTCTTGGTCTTCTGGGGTGCTTATGTGATTGTTTGGGTTGGTCGGCGAGTGCATGACTGAAAATAACCTTCCTGATTGGGTCCTTTGTTTACTGCACAATTTGTGTCCCAGTAGCTGTACGCTATTTCTCTTCCGCGTTGAGGAACTCGTCTCAATGTGGGATCTTGCCGTGGTAAATTGCACGCACTCAAGTCCGAGAAAAACTTTGCTTTTGCAGATTGACTCAGAGAACGAAACCACGAAGCTTCCATCTGACCGCGCTGTGGGTTTCATTCCAGAAAAGCTTCAGCTTCTTGTACGAGATGATAGCATCAGCGATTCTGTTGGCTACTTGTGGGTGGCAGGATTCTAGGGACATCACTGCAACCCTGGTTGAGAGTCCAGATGGTGTGGTGATTCTTTTTGCATCGCATGGAGAAGCTTATGTATTGCATGTGTAAGTCCCACGTGTCATCTGCGTAAAGGGCCTATGCAAACTCTATCCCTTGAATTGGTTCTCGTTGCTTCGCGAAGTTAAGATCAAGCTTATCATCCTTAAACATGGTTGTCATCAAAGTGTGAACAGGAAGGCGGATAGCGGCATTTTTGTCTTTCTCCAAAGTCTTGTCAGGTGCGTTGTTGTCCTGTGTGACATTGAAGTGCAGATTCAGATCGTCAAAACCAACTACAAACTCTATGCATATGTACATATATACATGTATAGACATATATATATATACATATTTACATATATATATATATATACATGCTCACCCCGCGTCCCCCCAATGATCTAGGCCCGAATTCTTTCCGTTAACACGGGGAGTAGGGAGGGGGGAAGCCTTAATGTTTAGCTATACAGTAAGTAAGCTTCAGTACGCTGGAAGGTCCTGACCGGCCTATAAATTTGTGCCACCAAAACTTGATTAGCACGCCATAGAGCTCGCTAGTGTGAGAAAACCATGCACTTGCTACTTCATTTGCTCAAGAAGAATTGAATTGGTATTTAAAAAGCGTTTCATAATCAGAGTTTCGTCGGCGAAACGCACTGTGTACTCATCAACACTTTACAGTTTACAAGGGCGCATTCGCCCAGAAAAACAATTGTACAAAAAAACCAAATTTCTCCAAAGACTCTCCCAAAAATTTTCTTTTTGTCAACATGTTCTGGACTTCCCTATTACGATGTCTTTCACTAGGCACATTATGAGAAAAATGTCCTTTCCTAGGTCTGTCTATGCAAAACTGTGCATTCCTAGACACACCATTAAGCCATCAAACCGTTGAACCATTCGACCAGTAACTTCACCCTCTGGAAAACCCCATTACACCATTCAACCATTAAGCCATTAAACCAGCCGTTCCCCCATATGGGACAACACGTTAAACCATTGCCATGGGGAAAGGAAGCTTACTGGTTGAAGGTTGGGTTGATGCTTTAACGTGTTTGTCACAGGGGGAAACGACTCTTAATGGTTTGATGGTTTAGCGGTTGCATGGTTAGATGGGTTTCCATACCGGTTAATGGTTTGATGGATCGTCTGTTTAATGGTTTAAGGAATTCTCTAGAGCCGGTTTCATAGGCAATAGGTCTTCGTTTAACGGTTTAAAGCTGTAGTGGTTTGACGGTTTAATGGCTGTATAGTTTGACGGTTTGATGGTTTAATGGCTTAATGTCTAAACGGTATACTGATTTAATGCTGAACTGGTTGAATGGTTTAATGGCGGAATGGTTTAATGGTTTCATATGTTAATATTTAAAGGATCGATGAAAAACACCCTGGTACCGCTGCAGGCATGTACCAAGCAAAACTATGCATGTACATGTATAAATATATATAAATATATACACATGTTGAACACATGCGGTATGGAATCAGACTATCTATCGTTAGTGCCTATGTGGTCCAACTGAGCGTGAGTGCTTGGGGATCTATTTGCGGAGTGCGCATGAGACAACACTTTGTTTATCTTTGTTCACTCAAAAGCAATAGTTGGAAATTATACACGAGATTACGAGTCAAGAGATAATCAGATTCCAACTCAAGCCGTCTTAGAACTCAAGCATATGCGCATTTCGGCACATACTCAAGAACCAACGCCCACCAACTTCTGCGGAAGACGGACAAGAAAACACGTGTCTGTTACGAGGAAGTACTAGCAAGCGACACCACGAGCACCACTCCAACAAGGGTGCATTGCTGCATGTCCCTAGTTCCAGGCAATGTGAGGCTTTATACACGATTGTCCCAGTTTTTACTGCCTGTCTGACTCTTCTCAACACGACTATCTTTGAGTTGAGCTCGCAAAGCCTTGAAGCATCTCACAGCAACCTCGAGTCTGAGCGGTCTCGTACTCCAAAATCTGGGGGCAGAACTGTGCTGGTATACAGAATGCACCAAACGAATAAGAAAAGAACCCTGCTTTGACGACAGATACTTGTAGCATCTGCCCATTGAACTACTACGGCTCTGTGCACCGTTTCCTTGTGCAGAAAGCACAGGACATACAACGCGTCCTGGGAAAGCCATCGATAAGGTACTTGCCGCCTGCCCAACCTTGCTCTCGCATTGCCTGGCACAAAACTCAGATTTAGCATGGCAGGAACAACAGCCCATTCCTTGCTTTGTGCACCGTACCTGTCGAGTTTCCGTTCAGAGCTTCTATTTTGATTTTGCACTGGAAGTCCTGAACCCAAAGGTAAGAACAGCTCTTAATCGTCTGCTTCTTGCAGGATTCGGGCTTGTCCCAGGCTTCTTGTCTTCAAAGAGACCGTGCATGGACATGCCTACACTGTCTCGACATTGGAACATCTCGGGTTCCAGCCTTCAGAATGAGCTCCACGGTAATGCTGGCGGGCACCAACTTCCCTTCCTGCATTGGCGCAAAGCTTTCTTGGCCTTCTCAGCCACTTGCCGCCACAATGCATTCCGTGCTCGAAAACATGTCAGGGCTGGTCAGGGCTCTGGGGTTCTTGAGTGCGAGGGTGGTCGTAAAGTTGCACTAAATTGCGCATCACGAAGAGCAAAGGCAGAGGATGCCTTGATGTGGTTCTCGATGAGCTCTCCGATTTGCGAGCCAGGTCTCTTGCGCTCCTCAAGACATATGGCGCGTTGAACCCTTTGGCGAGTCCAGGGCCAGTTCGCGGGCTGCGTGCTACTGGTATATTTTACTGACAACTCACCATCACATCCATCACATCCACATCCATCACACCAGCCCTCAACACATTCGCGCCTCCCTCAGGAGGTCGCCGGCACTGAGGTGTCGATAGCCACAGGCCTCTCATATAAACTTGGCAGCCTGTTTGCTTGTGGGGGACAAAAATATTTAGGAAGACGTTGTGCAATTGTGCCCTTGCCTGAACGATCTGGGAGCAAAGAGTGCCTGCAACCAGCATGCTCAATGGACCGGTCCGCCACTTGCCCGGTGATCTTAAAGGGCCGGAGAATTAAATTAGGAAGTTTTTTTGTTGTTCTTGGAGTTTTTTGTTTTTGGGTTTAGGGTTTAGGGTTTAGGGTTTAGGGTTTAGGGTTTAGGGTTTACGGTTTAGGGTTTAGGGTTTAGGGTTTAGGGTTTAGGGTTTAGGGTTTAGGGTTTAGGGTTTAGGGTTTAGGGTTTAGGGTTTAGGGTTTAGGGTTGTAGTAGTAGTAGTAGTAGTAGTAGTAGTAGTAGTAGTAGTAGTAGTAGTAGTAGTAGTAGTAGTAGTAGTAGTAGTAGTAGTAGTAGTAGTAGTAGTACCAGTAGCAAGGACAAAAAACAAAAAAATCCCCAAAAAAAAACGAAAAAAACCCTTAAAAAATAGACCTCCATCTCAAAGAGATGGGTGTCTCCCGTTGCACAAAGGAGCCTTTGCCAGCACCAGGACCACCAAGAACGAACACCACACTCGGACCGAAGAGAGCGCGGACATCTTTCCAAACCTGAGGCGGGAAGAGCAGACTTGCCTGAGAATATTTTGTAGAGTGCATGGATGGAAGAGGGAGGCGGAGACCGAGACCGAGAGCGAGAAAGAGAGAGCAACAGAGAGAGATAGAGAGAGAGAGACAGAGAGAGAGAGAGAGAGAGGAGGGATGGAAGGAGGGGTCTTCCCGCAGCCTGTTCTACGGCCTTCTCGCACTGCACCTGCTGCAAGCGAATCGAGAGTCGAAACCAAGAACGAAAGCATGTACAGCATGAGCGCCACAGGCACAGCACCGGCTAGAAGCAAGCTCAATACCCAGCTGGATGCCCTGGATGCCAGCAGAGGCTCGCACCTGCCGCAAGAGCCCTTTCGTCTTCAGGTGCTCGACGACAGGCATGGACTCCTCATCGACATCCATCTCAAAGATGCTCAGTCAGATGTGTGCAACTTGCTGCATCATCTCAAAACCTTCTGACTACTCGACTGAACCCAAGAGCAGTGACCCACCAGGCCTCTTCAGGAAACTGGAATAAATGATAGCCACACTCATCTTCATAAAGCACTTACTGCAAAGGCATTCACAGGACGAACCCATTTCTCACGCATCGAGCAAGATGTCAGCATCAACAAAGCAGAGCACACGCCTATGCACGCCTGTGCGACTGGCTGGACCAGCGTCCCCTTCACACCGACGGCACTTCTGACCGGCTCGGTGCTCCAAGGGGGCGCCGCTTGCAATGACGAGTCCGAGTCTTAGGTTCTGCTTAGCAAAGCTGCGGTCGCTGGCCTTGAGCTACTTTGACCGAGCTCTTTGTGAGCATTTCCATCGGTCAACAGATTTGTGAATAGCAAAGCTCACGATGTGAGAAGCAGCGGCGCTATTTACAACCCACTGACGGCATTTGTTCGTGCAGGTTGCCTCCTCCACAGTCGTCTTGGACGGCCTGTTGAAACATGCTCCGAATCGGAGGGTGAGACCCCACTGGCAAGACAAAGCAAGAACCTGGTCCCAAGAAATTGAAGGCCGCAAGTGCTCTGAGCAATCAGAGGCCTGCATCATGGTATGACGATATGATATGATCAGTACAAGTCTCATGAAATTGTAGACATCAGTTAACGGCATGATTTGCCCGTTGAGAGAAAGGGCTTCGGCTGCTCAGTGAAACTAGGAGTACAGGTCATTGCCGGAACGTTCGTGGCAACAACCCTCGTAGTGGCCTAAAAACAAAGTGGGCCTCTCAGCAGCGAAGCAGCGAGACCGCACCCCAAGAGGGCAATACGTCGTGCAAGATGGCAGACGTGTGGTCTCTGCCTACGTACATTGCCTTTTTTTATTCGCACGGAATCTGCTATATGTTGCTTAAACTCAATGTTCTTGATGCAAATCATTCATGACGGGCTTCTAGAGCTCCCGATCAGGCCGGCTGTGGCTCAACCTGCGTCGGCAGAATGCGATCATCAGCCAACGCTCGTGCACATGTCGAGCGCATGTTAGGTTCCGAGCCTTGCTAGAGCTGAACATCCACTTCTTCTTGCCCGGGTTCGAATCCACCAACGATTTCAGTGGTCCAGGTACATACTCCTGAAAGTCAGCACACACACACACACACTGTGCTGTAATAGCAGACCAAGCTCAACTGAGAGCGGACTTCCAGACCAGTATCCAGCTAATCCAACAGAAAGCTGTATGGAACTTGGACCTCATGCCCCGGTTTGACGACATCCGCAAGCTGGACGATGACAATCTCGTGTGCACTTCACCCCGTCGAACCCCCAGAACCCCAGAGCACAACTGAAGTGAAACTTCAGAAACTCGGCACGCTGCTGCTTGAGTTCTATTCTGGCCCAGTTCAGTGGCCCACGTTAGGGCACCATGGTGTGTCATGGTGTGCCATCTCATTTGTAATGGTCTGGAGCCGGCGAGGATTCAGCCATACCTAAAGTGTTACATAACTCCTGTTGTGTCGAGACTTCAAAGATACTTGCTTCGCAAGCTCAGAAGCAAGCTTTGGGAGCAGTCAACGATCCTGACTGCGGAAGCCGCTTCGAACATTCAGTTGCTTAGGTAAATAAAGAGCAGCAAGTTGCCTTTAAAGCCGCGCCACTACAGCCCATGCTGCCTTCAACAGCTTTGCAACGCTACTCCTCTGCACATCCCATCTCTTCCGCAGCAATGAAGCACTGGAGCGATGTGTCGACTGCCAGGCCGAAGACGTTCATGTACAGGTGGGCCTCGGCACGAAGACAGAGCAAGAGAGCGCGACCGGAGTCAAAAAATAGCTAAGCCCAGCATCAATTCGAGTATAGGCGATTGGAATCTGGTCGAGTTATGGCCTAAACCGTAAAACCTCTAATCTACATGCTGTGAACCCTGTACACGTGGAAGCTCGACCGCACTCGGCAGAATCGCCTTAAACCCCTACCCTACACCGTTGAAACCCTAAACCCTATGTAAGTCCTACACCCCTAAACCCCGACACCCTAAACCCTAAATCCCGACAAGCTCCATCCCTTCAGCTAAAGGGGTTTCAAGGCGGTTTAGTCTTGATGTCTTCTCTCAGTTCTCCCATTCCAAAGGCACCCACGCAGAGACAGGAGGCACATGGGGACGGATCGATCTCTCACTCGCTCTCGATCCGTGCCGAGCACAGAGTGTGTGTGTGTGTGTGTGTGTTGTGTTGTGTTGTGTTGTGTTGTGTTGGTGTTGTGTGTGTGTTGTGTGTGTGTTGTGTGTGTGTGTGTGTTGTGTGTGTGTGTGTGTGTTGTGTGTGTGTGTGTGTGTGT